TTTAAGATATATGTACTTCACTATCGCGTATAAACAATACCATAAATTGACCAAAAAATATTTCTGCCAAGGAAAAATATTTTAGAATTTAAGAACTATTTTCTTTAAGTAAAGTAGATTTTTCCTTAATCATAGCAACTGGTTTAAAATACTGAAAATATAAATATCGGAAGCACAACATTGCGAAATGCTTTACTGCCTAATCAATGGAAAATATGATACTGGTATGTAAATTTACGAAAAAGGCTCCTAATATTTATGTAAAAATTCATAATTTCAAAGACTTAAGAACAGTTTCCTTAATGTTAGGATTTTTTTTCATAATTTTAGACATGTATGTGTTCCACTTCTATTCACCTTTTATACAAAAAACAGATTAACATTTTTATGAGTTTACTAGCAAGAGAGAAAAATATTTTAAAATTTAAGAACTGTTTTCTTAATGTTAAGAACATTTTTCTAGAATAAAATAATTTGTTTAAATATGTGAAATAGGAATGTCACAAACATATTTTCTTGAAGAATGCTTTACTTAGTTAATTAATTAATTAATTAATGAAAATTTTAAAATTTGTATCTAAATTTATGAAAAATGTTTTTTTAGATTTATGTAAAAGTTCATAATTTTAATGATTTCGTAAATCCTTAGGATTGAAGGATCTTAAATTTTTGATCTTGTCTAAACCAATTATCGAAAAGAATTATTTCTAAATTATGAAAATTAAGGAAAATGTCCAATAATTCTATGAAATTAAAATTATATGAAATCTTTACTTACAATTAATGCAATGTTTTCATACTTTTAGGAATTATGTGATTTTTTTAGCTGAAATTAACACCTCATTTATTTTTTACAAGAAAGTTGTTATTTTAATAGTTAATTTGGTTTAACATATTTCAAATTCGAATTTCTCTCAGCATCTTTATTTTTGAAATTTATGAAAAAAATGGATTTTTTTTTTGTAATTAAGAATACTATTATTATTTTCAAAAGCTTTTCAAAAGCTATGTGAAAATTATTAATTAAAAAATTTAGAAGAGAATCGCTTCTTAAAAATTTTGAAATAACTTTTCAAAATCTGTCCATAAATTATGAAAATGTTCATAATTTTCAAATTTTTGTTCATATATTCCAAAAATCATGTAAATTTCCTTGCATTTAATGAAATTTGTATTATTATTATTATTTTATTTATTTATTTTCTTTTTTTTTTAAATATGTTATCTCCAAATCGAAAACTTATCTTGCATGATGAAAACGATGATCAATAACATTTTAATCTTCTGCTATCTGTCAGCATTTTAGCTGACAGCTTAACTCTCAGCCAGCGCATCTGCCTCTTCCATATATGTTTACACAAATCCATAAGATGTATTGTAGATTTGATTGAAATTTTTGACATTTGTTAAGCTTTCAATCAAAACACAGAACGTTACACCCCAAAAATGACATTTGCAGACTAATGAATTTTAAAATCTTAATTTGTTTAAAGAAAACACAGACAGACGGACGCTTACACGTTAAACTCACAACTCACTTGTTGGCTTAGGCGATTTTGCGCAGACACCATGTCTGTCAGATTTTCGTTCAGTTTTTTTTTTTTTTTTTTTGAAGTTACAAAGCGAAATTTTTGAATGTTCATTTATGTTTGGATGAATATTATTTATTGTGGAGATTTTTCGCCGTTGTTATGGTTTTTTTTTTTGGGGATGCCACAATGGCAATTTGAATGATCGTTTTATAATATATGTCTGTTTGCTTTGCTTTGGCTGAATGACGACTGCCGCTTTAAATTGTCTTTCATTGGAAATTGATATTGGCTTTGGCTCACTGGATGGCTGGCTGGCTGACGTATGGATCGCATGAATGAATTACAATCGAAATGAATTCAATAACGCTTTCTTTTCATCTTGATACCCGGCCAGTGGTGGAGTGGAGTAAGTGAGTGCCAGCCATCCAGCCAGCCAGCGAGTGAGTGAATGAATGACTGCCAGTCATACCCAAAAGTCTAACTGGCTGGGAGGCCCAAAAACACAGCAGAGCCGCATGAATTAAACATTATATGCCCTGCCGTTTTGTGTGACACAGCCAGTGAAATATAAGCGTTTAAGCGTTAATATGTATGAATAATTGAATGTATTCCAATATTGTATGGGAATGAGGAGCGCTATGCGCAAAATAATTCGCATATTGGAAACAATCACTACTGTAGCTTTGGCCATGTATTTGCCATTCATTGATGCGCATAGCTGCAAGCTTTGGGGACATGGGTTTCTTCTGGGTGAAATCAGGAAGAGCTCTTTTTTTTGTTTGATTGGGTATTCAATTTTACGATTTTTGGCCAAGTGTCAATGGGGAGTTGATCGAGGAAATGAAAATTAAATATCGGCGGAAATTTCAGTACGAAAAAGCTTGTGGAGAAATGGGGAATTGAAGAACTTTAAAATTATCAGACTAAATTCTAAAAAAACAACTTTGGGAGAAAGATATTTAGAAGGGGGAAGATCAGACCTTCTAAACCTCATTTCCCCGTCCAAAATAAGTTCCTGCAAACCACCAGCTGACATTTATTATGAGGGTGTTATTCTTGTCTATGACTGGCGTTAATATTTATTTTTTTATTTATTTTTTTTTTTTTTTGTTTGATTCTCAGCTATTTTTTTTTCTTCTCCTTCGTTTTCATGTCTTTGAATTTTTTGTATTTTGGCCTTTATTGTTTGGCTCTGATGTTTGTTGTAACAATTTCATTATTCGTTAACAATGTGGTTATTCTCTTGTAACACAAAAAAAAACAGTCTGTCCATTATTTAGTTGCTGTTGTGGAGGGGGTGCGGGTGTAGAGGGGATGTTAGACCAAGAAACGAATGAACCACACGTCAATCACTCACGCACCATTTTGACAATTGAATGAGAATTGTATGAGGTAAACAGATGAAGTGTGAGTAGCCTTAACTGGATGGTGTTTATGGCAAACGGTGAGGTAAGGGGGGTTCTAAAGGCAACGAAAAAATAAATATGTAATAATGGGAAAGTTTGAAAGCTTTATACAAAAAGTTTAGATGGCCAAGCTTCTTGGCACTCAATTTGGTCCGAAAATTAAACAAAATAAAAGATTTTGTAGAAGAAACTATTTTTTTTAATTTGGAACAAGGAACATTTCCACGTAGAAGTATGGCTAAACAAGAAAATTTTCCACAATACGAATTTCCCCTAAAAAATGGACTCCATTGAGCTGAACATATCGCAATATTCCATTCGGCAAATATTGAAAAATCAGCTCGGGGTAAAGCCATTGAAATTCCAAAAAGTACAAGAACTTACACCGCAACAGAAAGAAAATAGACTCAAAAGAGCTAAAGAGTTGCTTCGCTTGGCCGAAAGTGGTGAACTGCCGAATTTGGTTTTCTCCAATGAGAAAACATTTGTTCTGCAGCAGTTTGTAAACAAACAAAATGATAGCGTTTACATACTAAAGAGGTCAGCTGAAAATGTGCACCTTCGGTTGGCCACCAAAACTCAAGCACCGGCCATGCTGATGGTGTGGAACGCCATAACAGCCGATTGTCGCTCTACGCTCGTATTAATCGACCGTGGTGGCATCAGAATAAATACCGATATTATCGCGAAAATATTCTGGAGGGTGTTTTAAAGCCTTGAAGGACGCAAACATTTTGACCGCAAATCTTGGACATTCTAACAGGACCAGGCAACATCGCACTCAGCACGCGCCACCCAAGAATGGTTACAAAATGAGGTTCTTCCCTTCATTTCGAGCGCAAAATGGCCACAAAAATCTCCGGATACCAATCCGTTGGACTATTGTGTCTGGAGTATTTGGGAAAGCAAGGTTGGCACTAAAAAAAACCAAAGTGTCGATCACCTCAAGCAAGCGCTTCGCCGGGAATGGGCCAAAATACCGCAGAGCGACATTCGGGCAGCATGTGACGGTTTCATTGGCCGTTTGAAGGCCATAATTCGTGTCAAAGGGGACCAATTTGAACTAATCTAAACTTATTCTAAAATTTGATGCTATTTCTGACATTTTTTGCTTATTTCAATAAAATTTTAAAAAAAATGTACAAAATATGGCTTTTGACTTTGTTGCAGTTTTTTTGTTTATCTCACCCTGTATATTGGCAAATTATCGATTCCATTGAAACCCAAAATTTCCCAAAAGGAAAATTTTCATTTTTTTTTTTTTGCTGTGAAAATGGTTAGTGTTTCTCATAAAAGTCAGTGGCATCACATTTTTGATGAAATAAAATCCTTAAAGCCCATTTTTTAGTTATAGACAAAAAATAAAATTTCCTTCATATTTAGGGATCAAAAATAAAATTTTATTAAATATTTTATCGATTGCATTGAAAATAAAAATTGTTCAAAATATATCCCAAAATGGGAATTTTTATTATAGCCTCCAAAATGGGTTAGTTCTTTTCATAAAAGGGAACATTTTGATAAAAAAAATCCTAAAAAACTTTCCAAACACCGGATTTTCTTCTATTCAAACTAAAATTTCATACATATTTATTCATATACATCCCAAAAAAAATTCCTTCAGGAAAAAAATGGTTTCTAACAAAAAAAACCCCTTCTGGATATTTGCAAAAGAATTATTATTTTCAACAAAGTTTTTGAGAATTATTTCCATTACTTCTAAATGCATTGTTTTTGGTTTACAAATTTCCATTGTAATTTTTAATTGTTTCCTCCAAATTGGGTTCTCATAGAAGGCAATAGCATAACATTTTGATAAAGAAAAAAATCCTTGAAAATTTTCTGAATGAGGAATTTGTTTTTTTTCTGCTCAAATTATTTTTAAAAAATTTCTAAAAATATTCTTCAGGGAAAAATTGTTGTTAACAAAAAACAAAACCATTCCCCACTCCTTTTAAGTATTTGAAAAATAATTTTTATTTTCAACAAAGTCTTTGAGAATTATTTCCATTACTTCTAAATACATTGTTTTTGTTTTTTTACGAATTTCCATTGTACTCACCATGTTGATGATAGCTGGGATAATATCTGCGATGATGACCATTACTTTCCAATGCATAAAAGGCGCCCATATCGGAGGTATCCAAACCTAGGCCACTGGTGGTGCCGGCACTTCCGCTGCCACCCAAACCCATGCTGCCGCCGGCCGTCGAACCCAAACCGGCCGATAGGCCATGATGGCCCAAACCGCCGGCCGATGAGCCTAGGCCGTTTGTCTGTGGCGAGCCGCCACCCACAAGGCGTGGATTGTCATACCAGCTGCGCGCAGCAGCTTCGGCTGTAGAGGTCATATCCATATCGAGTATAATTTTGAAGCTGTTTTTGTATTGGTTAACTGGTAACAAGATTTGTTGTTGTTGTTGTGTGGTATTTTATGAAGTCTTGTAGCTTGTTGTTGCTTTTGTATTTCTTTTTAATTTGAAGTTTATTTATTTGCTTTTATTAGAGGTTTATTTTACTTTGTTGACGGTTTTTTTTTTCGTTTTTATGTGCGGTTTCTTTTAACTCTTTTTACCTCATAATTTGCTTGTTCATTTTGTGTGTGTTTTTGTTTGGCTTTTAAGTTTAGTTTATTAGCTGTTGACAAGAGAAAGAAAATCAATAAATTTATTTCCATTTTTTTTTGGTTTGGGGTGTATGCAAAAGACAGGAACAGACATTGCAGCTTGTTTTCAAAATTTGTTTTTTGTGGTTGTTAGATGAGTAATCGCCAAGAAATCAATACAACCCAATTCCAAAACAGGGAATTAAAAATTAATTATGGAAAAGTTAATACAAAATCGATGACAATCACCTCAAATCGATAAGAATTGGTTTTGTTATCGATTTTTTTTTTTTGTTTATTGCGTTAATTAAAATTAAAGCTCGTTTGGCTAACACCTTAAAGTCGTGGCTAATGTGTATTCAAAATATCTCAAATTCGTTGCTAAATAACACGTGAATTTCTTATGGGTTTTTGTTATCGATTTATCGATAAGTAATATTTTTGTAATCACTTTTAAGGAATAAAATCACCTCTCTTTTAGTTAAAATTACAAAAAAAAAAACTATTTTCTTTCACAGAATCGTTTATCTAATTCCACATTTTTTATCATTTCTTCCACCTCCCGCGATCTTCAACCACAAATTGTTTACTTTCCTTAAAAATATTAATTTGAAATAAAAACGTAAAAAAGAAATTGTGGCTACTTTTACTCCGTTCGATTATCGGCCTATCAGTTAAGTTAGCTATCGCCTCTTTAAGTGATTTATGGACTTCAATGTCATTCTATATATATTTAAGAGTGTTGCTGAGGCAGCGGCTCGGTAAATACACAGTAGTTTTATTGATATATTCCCCAGTTTATGGTATGGTTTCGTATCTCGCCTCGGTTTTTCGTGGTCTTCTTTTTGCGCTTTAAAGTCCATTAATTTGTAGAAAGAGGGAGAGACAGAATTGAAGCAATTGAATTTTGCGGATAATCTAAGTGTTAGGTTATGACGCACACTTTTATAATAAAAATAAGAAAATTTATGGGTTTGGAGAGAAAGTGTGGAGGATATTTGCTGTGCTTTAAAATTTCAAAAAAAAAAAAAAAATTGGCGCGAATTTGCTCCCACAAAAAATTGAGAATAATGAAATCAGACATCTTTAAAAAGATGGTTCGGGTGGCGCCCAAATGATAAATTTTTTAAAGATATAATCACATTAAGAACACTGACATAACTAGAGATAAGGCCACGATTGCAGAATTCTGTATTAAATGCGTCTTGGTTCGAGTATATATTGGGGATTTTTTAAAAAGAATGAAACTAAAATGTGTTCGTACTACTAAGAATTGGAGTCTGGACTGTAATTTATTATGCAAATTTGAAAAGTTGTTTTTTTTTGACACCCAAATTAATTTTGAAATGCACTTCTTGAAGCTGAGGGTACTTCAGTACCTAAATATAAGGCTTTTTTGACATTTTTTGAAATATCAAGACTCTAAATTTTTCTTATAAAATGCAAATGATTTGTCCGTGGCGCCCAAATGTTATTGAAATTGCTAAAAAAAACCGTCATATGAAGAATATATCGAGAAAAATACCTAGGAGCTTCAAACTTTCAAAATAAAAACTTTGAACCTAAAAATCTGGAAGAATTGCTCTTTAAAATTTAGAAATTGGCGTCCAAATATATCAAATTGTCCCAATGGCGCCCAACTGATTTAAAAATGAACCTATGTTTCAACTAAAATTGCCAGCAAGCATCTTTAAGGGGCAAAAAATTATGTCAAGGATCAAGGAGCTTAATTTACCAGGATCACGGTTTTTAATTCTAAGCCAAATTACGAAATTGGCGACCAAAATGATTTTGTGATTAATTTTGATTTCAAACTGAAATTACTGAAAAAATTATGACTGGAAATTATGCCGATGATCTTCAAGGAGCAACAAATGATGTCGAAGATATTCTCAAAAATTTATGTCAAACTAAAAAATTGCCGACCAAATGATTCAAACAAAAATTGTAGAAACATTTTTTAAGGAATGCCATGTCGGGAATCTTCGTGAATACAAAATATTCTCAATTGCAAAAATGGCGCCCAAGTGATTTTCTAGTTAGTTTTTGGTTCCAATTAAAATTGCCAGATTGGCGCCCGAATGTTTTTTCAAAGTTATTTATCAAAATAAAATTGCAGAAAAAATGTCCAGAAAGGGATATGCCGAGGATCTTAAAGGAGTAGTGTTAAGAACTTGATCTTGGAAATAAAAGTGGCGCTCAATTGTTTTTGTAATGCGCAGATGTGTTCAAGCTAAAATTGCCAGATTGACGCCCAAATGATTTTGAAATAGAGAGGTTTTCTCTGCAATTTTAATTTTTTCCTGCAAGATTTTGGATTTGTGGCGCCCAAATGATGTATATCTAACGCCACATACCAAGGGAGGAACCCCCGGATTTAGGATATTTTTTTTATTCTACGGCTTTAAAAATGTCTCTTGCAAATTAGGAAATTTTTAAGCCCATTTGGGCGCCCAAAGTAAGATTTTGGGTTTGTGGCGCCCAAATGATGTATATCTAAAAAAACATATCAAAAGAGGAACCCCCGGATTTTGAACATGTTTTTTTTTAATTCTATGGCTTTAAAAATGTCTCTTGCAAATTAGGAAATTTTTTAGCGCCCAAATGGTTTGGAAAGATGTTTTTGAAACTTTGAGATTTGGGAAATCCTCAGAAAGCATGCCATGAGATCCTGTCATTTTCCGAAATTGTAATATTTTACCCTTTTTTTCTTGCGAAACTAAAAAAATGTTTGGTGGCGCCCAAATGTTTTGCATAAGACAGATAGAGACACATTTTGAAGTGTATGCTCTGGAGAATCTCCTCGGGAAGTAGAAACAATAAATCTAACTTTTCAAGTCTTAACCGGGAGATGAGTTGTTTGGCATTTCCCAAAATATTCAAAAAGATTTTTTTAGAATAAACAAATTATGGAGGCTATTTGGAAACATCAACGTCCCCAAAATATTGCTTTAATTTTTCACAACTTTTTTTCAATTTCTTGCATTATCCTTTTATTTATTAATTGTACTTCTGAAATCCTCAAATCCCCCATTCCTTTTGTCTATCCTCTCCATCTATTTGTTTTCCCTGACCACAAATCCAAATTCAATTTTCTACCTTTTTCAAATGTTTGTGGTTAATATTATTATCGGTTTTGAGATTTACAATTGACTTGTTGTCTTTTGTTAGGAGATTCAAATTCAAACATTGTTTTCGATTTCAACACAGAACACAAGCAGCAAAATATTTATTTGTATTGTTTTCTCCACAGAGAATAATAGTTTGCCAATTTTTCGGGTGTCAATTGGATATTGTATGTAGGTATTTGGCCTTTTTGTAAACATGCGACCGCTGTTGTTTTATTGTGAAATGATCTTGGCCAGACAGACAGCCAACCAACCATCATAGAAGTGGGCTTGTATAACAACAATAGTAAAACAACAACAATTTTACCACATTTGCTTGTTGTGATTCTATTGTTCAAAAAGAGATTGAAAAAAAAACACTGAAACAGAACACAATTTTAAACGTTTCGAAGGGATAATTTCCACAAGAAGAACAAAAGATCTTGTTTAACTGTCGCCTTTACCGGGCTGGATGACTGGCTAGCTGGCTGGCGCTAAGGTTTCATGGTGTTACACTGCTGCTTACTGCATGCTGCAAGGTGTTGTATTTATTGTTGCCAGTATGGATTCTGGGTGATTGTGTCACCTGCACTCTAGGAGACATTAGGAGACAACAAAAACAAATACCTACATCTTGTTAGCCATGGCAATTTCGTCTATGGTGGGCGTTTTGTATACCGGGGCTGTATTATAAGATTTATGACTGAATTGTCGCCGACGGTACCGTTCGTTTTTTTTTTTTGTCTTTTTCTCAATTGTTTTCCATTGTTCAATTTCCACCTAAATTACTTTATCTCCCAAAAAGAGTAGAACAGAAACACAAATTTGTTCTTATTCTTCTCCTGGGCCCTTCTGAAATTCTGATTGTCTATATTTTTGGTTGTCATTTTTAGTCTTTCCTTATTTATTTCAGTTAAATTGAAAACAAGAAGTTGATAACATTCCGTATTTGTACGAAGATACGACACGTTGACTCTATTTGTTTTTCACTCCAATTTTTTTTTTCTTCTTTCAATTCTCTTATCACTTATCAAACTATCTGTTTAGTTTGATCTAAACGAAATCGAATCGAAAAAAATGATGACAAATATTTGTTAATGACAGGTAGCTCAGTAAATATTTGACAATTTCCAATCTAAAAAAGTAACGAAGAATACAAAAAACTGGACTTTATCTTGGTAGGATAGATAAACACCTAAATATTTTTTGGGTGTTGGGGTTTCAATCAACAACCCAACAATTGCATATTATCAGTTATTTGCACCCCTCCCCGTCTAAAATCACCTCAACCCCTTGATGTTGGGCTGTTGTTGAAGAATTGTTATTGATTTCAATCGTCTTTTTCTTGGCTTATTAGGTTCTTAGTTATGATAGCTGTTATCTGTTCCCTCGCTCATGCTCCCTAACTTCTTGATAGGTAAGGTGTTCAGCAAAAGACAAAAAAAGGTTATGGTTGTTTGTATTTGTTACTTTTTTCGGGGCTGCTTGTTTTTTGCTTGATTGATAAGTGAGGGAATATGGGGTTTTTGTTTCATATCAAAACCACGGAAAGAAATTGATTTCGATTTTTAACAGTTTTCATTAAAATGATAAGACAGAAAAAAAAAATTGTTGATTTTTTCCCTGGTGGTTGGTTGATTGTTCTCTAATGAAAGGTGGAAATTTACAAGAAACAGTGGAACATGCTTCCAGTCGAAAAATGACATTGATGGCTCAATTATAGAACTTGAGATAGAAAATTCATAATTTAACAAAAAAAAAAAAAAAAAGGAAAAGTGTTATTGACATCCCCAAAGGACGGGAAGTAGTTACCGGTAACTTAGATAGCAAAATCTGGTTTTGCAAATATCGTAGCGTTCATAGAATGATGCCTAGTTGAAAGAAACAAACAATATTTAGTTTCAAGACAATAATGTACGAAACAGTACTATTTGGAGCCGAATTACTTGCTACTCTGGTAGTTTCAGAGGGGAAAAAATAAACAAAATAAAGAAAGAGGATGAAGTAAGTTTTGGTATCTTCCCTAAATAAAAATTGTATAATCTCTGTAATTGGCGCCCAATTAAGAGCTCTATTGTTTCCTTTTTTGTTGTAGAAAAAGAAGTACATATCTATTCATCTCATATTCCAAAGGAATAATGAGAAGACTCGGTTTCATTCCTTTTTTGTCTGCTCTTATTTCCCAAAAAAAATAAATAGATACCTCTGTCTATTTGGCACCCAATTTAGGGGTTTGCTGCTCTAGGTTTTCCTTTGTTGACTTATCCAACTTTAAAATTAAAAATTAAAATTAATTCGTATGTATATAGGAATGGAAGAGATTGTCTGTGAAGAATCTGCAAATCCTATCGTTCCTATGTTTTTACTGCAAAGGAACTTCAAATTTAAATGTTGATGTTTTTGGCGCCCAATTAAGGTATCTACTTTTCTTTAAGTCTCTAAAGATTTCATAAAACTTCTTTTGAACCATTCTTTTTTAGGATATTTAGTTCAATATTGGCAAAAATAGTTTTATTTGAAGGAACAAAGTTGGCGCCCAACGGGGAAACATTTTTTTTTTTTTTTTTTGTAATTCAATTACCTGAAATTAGACTCATTATTTCTTGCATAAATCGAATTGCAAATGCTTAAATAAATTTTCTTTAATTGTGAATCAGAAGTATCCAAAGGTTGGCCCGGAATGGCGACCAATCCCAGCAATCGGAACTAAAATGCGAATACCATAAATATTTATTTACATAATTTTGATAGAGAAAATCCTATAATATTTTTGGGGTCAATGGAAACTAATTTAATTGAATGGTTTTCAAATTTAAAGAGTTTGCAATTGCAGGATTATCATTGGAGGATTTTTGTCGATAATAATCCAAGATCTAAGCAGGAAAATCTTAAATTTCTGAATTGGGTTGCCTTTCAAAATTTTGACTGCGAAGAAGAACATTGGCATTATTTATTTTTGAAAAAGTGGCGCCCAATTAGAAAATTTTTTCTGCTTGTTTTCGAAACAAGGTTTTGGCGCTCAATCAGATAACTTTGGTTGAATGAATTGAAGCCTAGATGGAAACAACTGAATTTAAGAAACACTTTCAATTTATTTTTTTGATTTTGATTTTTCCTGAGTCAGTAATTAAAAACTAAAAATGGGAAAAGTGGCGCCCAAACAAAGCATCTGACATTGTCAATTTTTTTTTAGTTTTTAAGAAAATACATATGTCTCCAGATGTTTAGGATCTGGCTTGTAAACATTTAAGAGTTTTAAGTCTCTAAAAGATTATAATTGAGATTTAACATATTGCAAGTGGCGCCCAATCTTAGCATTTCAAACTGTTATTATTTATTTATTTTTTTTACTATTTATTCTTTTCTCTTAAATCTTTCAACAAAATACATACAAATATCTCTTGACAATTAAGAGCTAACTTGCACAGTTTGTTGAATTTTCAGCCAATAAAATGATTGAAACGTTATACGTAAAAAGTGGCGCCCAATCATTGCATCAAAATCTTCTTAATTTTATTTTCATTTATTAATTTTTATATATATTTTTTGTAAGAAGTTACATATATCTCTAAATATTTAAGAAATGGCTTGTCCTATTTTTTTTAGTTTGCAATAAAAAAAAGTTCATTGATACTAAACATTAAGAAATGGCGCCCAATCATAGCATCTTATTTTCATTTGTTATAACAATAATAATAAAATAATATATCCGATTTTCGCAGTAATTTTCTGAGTTACAAATACAAATTAAATTAATCCCAAAATAAAATTCCTTTTCCTTACAACACTAACTTAGCAAGTCAAAAGCGTTTTGTGTTTTCTAAAAAGCCGTCGCCAAACTTTAAGTTTACACCAAACATTACCAAGTCATGACGAAATTCTATACTCCAAAGAGATTGTGAATTACAGATGAAATTCCAAAAATTGGGTTGTAATGATTTCGGTAATCCTTAAAATTGCTATTAAAGCTAGGATCGCAAAGCTTACACTTTGTTATTTTGTTATTCTTTAAATTAGTTTTCTTGTTTTTAATTTTCCACTTTTTATTTTTTTCTTAGATGGTTTGTTTTTTATTTAATATTTTTTTATTAAATTATTTTGCATAAATTCACTTCACACTTGTTATTTGTTTTTCACTTTTCTTTCAATTATTTTCCGTATTTGATTTGAATAAATCTTGAAATTTAATCACATCACACAAATAGGTATCATCTAATAATCATCATCATCATCACGACCATCAACACTGATTTGACGACGACCAAAAAGCGTTAAATAGGAGAAAAAATAATTCTTTAATTTTTGTTTTCTTTTTCTTCTGTGGGTGATATGAAAAATGATAACGCACTGTGATTTCTTTCTTACGACTAAATGGGAGTACAACACGACGACGACGTACAAACGAACGTTTTTAGCGAGCGAGCGAACGGCGTATGATGTGTGTGATTATTATTCAACGATTGTTTGATTGGATTTGTTTGTTTGTTTTCATTTCGCAACGGCAGATAGCTCAAGCTGGCTGGCTGGCTGGCTAGGTAGGTAGGTATTATTCTGTTTCTTCTGCTGTTGACTGTAAAAATCTCAGATAGGCCATCAACGATGAGCGTGCAAGAAGCCGCAGCCAAATCGATAATACTAGTAGAGAAGTTTTCGTGTTTTTCTTTTTTGTTTGTTGTTGTAGTAGTAGTAGCGAGCGCACACACGCAAAAACAGAAACGTAATGTGTTAATATAGAAAGTAAAAAAGAAACAACAACCTACACTCTCACGCAAATTAAACAAAAAACAGATGTACGTTCGTTGTTTACGGGGTTTCTCGTCCGTTCAACGGTCACAGACCAACTGAATGTTTATGGTAACACAACGGAACGACGGCAAAACTATCACAACTTGCCCACACAAGCCAACCACTTAACATGCGAGAAAAAGAGATAGCACTGCGATGAACAACAAAGAAAGCACAAACAACAATTCAAACAGGAATATAACAGGTTTCCCTCTACCAAGGGGTTGTTCAAGGGGCCAAGCAGTTGTTTGACAAAAATGGTCGCTCTCCGTTAGCTATACCGGGTGAGAAAGGGATAACCTAAACACAACGGCATCTCTCTTTCACTCTCCCATTCTCTCTCAACTCACATGAGCCAACAAAAAGGGGCGTTTGACTAAAGCACTAGTATTTCAAGCTGGCAATGCCCTATTGCAAATTCTCTCTGCTTTGAAATTTCTCGCTCTCTCTCGGGGGGGTTCTCTCAACGTTTGTTTTGTTATTTACAGCAACACAACATAATGTGTGAAATTGCATTTCATTTGCTTTTGTTTGTTTTTCTTTTACTTTTATCGCCCTATCTCATTTTTGCAAAGCCACTGATATTTCATTCACACCTCTGTGGATATGGAATAACCCATCAGACATTACAATAAACTCATTGTGTTGTCGTTTTTGTTGTTGTTTATAAGTCTCATCGCCTATTTTTCGTATCAGAGGCTAATATCATTCGTGTATATGGTAAGTAAAGCAAACGATGTAAAATGCACGCCTGCATTTGTCGGACTGCAAAGCTCTTTCTCATTGATTACACTGTGCAACATGAACGCCATGACAGGGACAAAATTTTAACTGCTCAGTTTGAGATTAGAAATCCCATCGTTAGTCAAAAAAAATTGTCTATATCTATAGTCATTTTCACCAAAATAGTAGGATGTATATTTTTAAAAGTGTCCCCTTCTACATTACGCTTTAAGAACATATTTACCTTGTTATAGGTTTTAAAACATCCCCAACATACAAGGCACAAAACATCCAAATATACCTAGATATGAACTTGTTATATGAAACTTTTTTTTCCAAAATATATATATACACTGGTGGCCAAAACTAAAGCAACTAAAATCGCAAAGACAATAAATGTCCTGTAACTTTTACAAAAATAAACAAATCGTAATTATTTTTCCAGTTTTAAATGAGGGGTTTAATTCACTTTTAAGAAACTAAAAATAACAAGTAAGCAAAGGCTACAGTCGAGCGGGGCCGACCGTTGAATACCCTACAACACTATTATAAACGATACAGTTTATATAGACGAGATACTCGGAAGAATTCCACAAGATATTGTGACAAATAATAAAAGAAAACCATTAGGTTTCGTTCTCTAATTTTCGAAATAGCAACTTAAACTAATTTGCTCATTTCCAATTTATTGGTAGATGTTGCACGTAAATGGTCTTCCTAGATCTGGATCCAATATTTCCCAAACACCTATAATCTCTCAGAAGTGGCAAAAGATTAACATTTATTATTGGTTTTTGACTGAAACGCATCTATATGGGATACAGACATATGACTATATTCTTCAAAGAAATCAGCGTTAACGACATAGTCAGAAGTGCGTCTTTCCTATATTTGTGAATTCCCCAAAAAGTCACTGGAATGGACATTTTCGTATTTTGTCTACAAAAGTTGGCAAACTCCTTCACACATTGAATATTTTTGGATGGCCATCCAAAACTGCTTGGCTTTTGCACTGTCCGGTAACCCCCATTCATATATGCGTGAGGACCGGGCGATAATTACGACCTGCTGACAATTTTGCAGTTTTTGGTCCATTTCAACCCCTAAATATATGGCGATCATCTCCAAAAAGAGTAGGCTTCTTTTCTGACCCTCATCTTATCCCCATGCAAAATTTCGTAAGGATCGGGCCATAAATGCGATCTGTATATGATATCCTGATATCCTAACTACTTAGTTTTGTTAGCTGTAGAAATATTACCAAATGTTTAATTCAAAATGAAAATATGCCAAAAATATGACAAAATTGAAAAAATATGAGAAAATTTTACAAAATCAATGTTTTCCTCTTTAGAGAGATATTTTTATGCGATTTTTTAGACGTTTTTCCTTGCCAAGAGGCCATTCTGAATTAATGTGAACTGTCGAAATCAGTTCAGCCGTTCTCGACATATAAGAGATCTTTCTAGCATATCTTCTTTGATAGACATATATATCGCACATATTTTGCTATACATCCTTTTTGGTGGATGTTAACATCAATGTAAAGATCAGGAGTAACCTTGTCATGGCTTTGTGATTTCGCCGCGATTTAAAATATTCGCGGTTTAATGAAAAATTTTGAATTTTTTCAACAAAAAAGATATGGTCTATTTTACCCGCTAAATATTAACCGATGACCATCAAAATTGGTAGGCTTCTTCCCCGCCCTAAACTCTAGCTACATGCGAAATTCCGCGTCGATTGGTCTATAATTGCTACCTGTATAGCTACTGCAAAATCCGACATTTTTTCAGTATTTGGTCCATTTCAACCCCTAAATATTATGCAATCATCTTCAAAAGAAATAGGGTTCTATTCTGACCTTAACCCCACCTCCATTCTAAATTTCGTGGAGATCGGACCATAATTGCGACCTGTAGAGTGATTACAAATTAACATGGACAGACGGACAGACGGACGGACGGACATACATAGCTAGATCGACTCAACTCGGCGAGCTAGGAAGATCCATATATACTTTCCTATGTGGGAAATCAATATTTCGAGGTGTTACATAATTTTTGGCCCAATCAAACTTATAATACCCCCAACACATAGTGTTGTAGGGTATAAAAATTCAAAAATAATTTGGAATGAAAAATAATATGTGGAAAACTAAAATGACCCAATTTTTGCTTGGTCAAAACTAAAGCAACTTTTGATTTTTTATTTTAAAATAATTAAATTTTGGCTAGTAGTCGATAGCATAACCATTATTTTTGATAGCAGCTGCACACCTACGAGGCATTAAATCTATAACACGCTCAATTTGATCCTTGGGTATGCTTTCCCAGGCACCCCGAATTCTTTAGAAAATGTTGTGCTTATTTATTTCCGAATCTCGCATGATCTCGCTATCTACAATACTCCAAAGGTTTTCTATGGAGTTTAGGTCAGGTGATTGTGCTGTCCATGACAAAACATCAATTTTTGACTCCCGCAACCAATATTAGAAAAGTTTTGATGCAAGTTTGGGATCATTGTCATGCTGAAACACCCAAATGAGCCGAATATTTTACTCAGTGTAAGGGAACAACGTGATGTCCAACACATCTTTGTAAACAAACCGATCCATAACTTCCTTTATTTCATGAATAGGCCCAAGTTCATAGAAAGAAAAACAGCGCCACGCCATTTTTAACCCTCCCTCATGCTTCACTGTACCTTTGCAACACTGCGGCATGAGTCCTTCATTTTTTGGTCTTCTCAGCGTAAAATTTTTCACGTCTGAGCCTTTAATATTAAACGTAGACTCATCCCAGAAATAATGTTTTTCCATTGAGCTTGATTCCATTTAATATTATCGTTTCCGAAAGCCTTTTTGATTTTTTTCAGATATAAATGGTTTTTTTGATGTCTTACGGGCATGCAGACCAGCTGCCACTACTCGTCTACGCACTGATCTCGAGCTTATATCCAATGATTGCTCTCTCACCAATCCTGTTGAACTCTTAAATGGTTGTTTTTTTATTTCTCTCACAATTTGTGGATCAGTACGGGCTGAAGTTTTTCACGGCCTTCATCTGTTATAGACTGTTACTACTGATCCAGTTTCAAAAAACCGACTTAGTATACAGAAATAATTATGAAATCACATAAATATTTATGAAATATTTCACGGAAATCATTTTTTGTGTTTTGATAGTCACTGATAATTTGCTGTTTTATTCAGGTACTGTATTTGCTTCTAGCCATTTTTAAATTTTTTTGGGCAGTACTTAAAAAACGAAAAGAAAAACACATACTGTTGTAAAAAACTTCTCAAAAAGGATTTATGACAAGCGAAATTGTCGAAGGAAGCAAAAAGCGATAAATATCACAGTAAAAACAACTGAAATTGCATCGGTTATATGAATATACAACAAAGTTGCTTTTGTTTTGTCCACGCCAAAATCGGGTTAATTCACTTTACCATACATTATTTTTTATATAAAAATTAATTTTGGTTTTTTGTTTTGGGTTTTTAAAAAGTGAATAAAGTGCCTAATTTAAGACAAGAAAAACTTTCTCATTTTCTTAATTTTTAAAAGAGTTACAGGGCATTCATTCTCCTTGTAATTTCAGTTGCTTTAGTTTTGGCCACCAGTGTAAGTGAGAATTAAAATTAAGTAGTCCTTATTTTATCGAAGAACACCTGGAATGGAATACAATGTATTAACTAAATTTTTTCGTATTTATTTGTATTAGCTTGGGAGGGAACGTTTTATACAGCTCATGGGGTGAACGGCAAGCTAGTTGGAGAGTTTTTTTATAAGAACTTTTAAAAATATCTGGCGCCCAACGAGAACGGAGTTTAATGGAGGACGTTCTTAACAAGGAATCTTGGTTGAATTAATTTTCAAAAAATGCACCTTAAGGAAGGATGTGTTCCCTAACATATGAGACATTGTGCACAATTGGATATATATTTTTAAAGATATTTCAAAGGAACGGGTAAAAAAATATTTGGCGCCCAATGGGAATATCGTTTTGTTTTTAATGCAATACCAAAAAATAAGATTAGATCGTATTTATTTCAATCGTACTTTAAAAATACCAGGAATGGTGGATAATTACAGCAATAATAACTTGAATATTTTTTGTTGAATTGTATAACTGACTGTACAAAAAAAATATATAATAGCTTTGAACATAATGCCAGATACCTTTGTGTTTCGCTAGAAAAAGATGATATATTGTCTGAAAGTCTACATTTTTGTAGAAAATAGAAAAAAAAATTAGTGGAGACGTTAAAATTAAAATAACCGTAGCCATGTAGAAATAATTATTGCCGTTCTATCCTTGCCAAAAATGTTTAATTT